GATGGTGCCCCCCCCCCCCCCCCGGAATACCCTCCCTAAAGAGATTAGGTCAGTCCTCAATCTCCAAGCCTTTCAGGCTAGTTTAAAAGCATGGCTCTGTAGACAGGCCTTTGACCTTGTGTAATGTTATGGTCAGATTGAGAACCCAGCCATTGTTTTACACCAGCACTTTGGTTTGTTGCTTGTAGATAGCTAATTTTATTCCCAGGTTGTACTGCATTTTATGAATTTTACATTTTATCAGATAAAGTTTATGTATGTTCGTTGTTTTTATATTTATATTGTTTTATATGCATTGCTTGTGTATTGTTGTCTTGAGTGTGGCCCTTTGTAGTGCTTCTGTGAGTTGCCCTGAGTCCCTTTGGGGAGATGGTGATGGGGTACAAATAAACTTATTATTATTTTTATATTTTTATGGCAATAAGGTCCACATAAACAATTATATAAAACATAAAATAAAACCCCGCCAACTTAAAAGATTAAATAAAATGTAGCAGTGGCTGTGGATATAAAAATAAACTATGGTTAATACCAGTCTCGTAAAGTGCTAAGGTGTAAAGTGTAAACACAATAGAAAAGATAAAGAAGCAAAAGGAGAAACATTTCTCTAATGTTCTGGATGCTGTCCAAATACTTCACTTGGTGCTTTACCATTATCATAACAGGAAATTAGGGAAAGAGACATTCATTACAAAAATACAACTTGAAACTACAAATATCTTGATGCTTTCTAATCATAACAAGCAGCAAGATGTCATCAAGGAAGCACACCGTTTATATCAGCAGTGACAGTTTCCAGACCATAATAGCACATTTTGTTTCAGTGGAAGGGCTACATTTCTAGTTTTAATTGTAAATGTGCAGTAATGGCAGTAGCTTACTTCGTGACTTTATGTTTTAAACATGCCTATTTAAAAATGAAATGGATTGCCTTCTACCAGATAACAGATAATTTGTTTCAGATGGTGATTTATTTGCTGAGGATACAAGAGTTCACACACTGTCTTTGCCAATTCATATTAGACTTTCAATTCACTGAATGCGGTTTACTACTGCTGTCAGTAGCTACTGTCTGACAAAACCAATCTGTGCAATACAGTTATGGACTGAAAAGATTTTTTTTCCCTCTTTGATCACTAAATCGTTTAATCTCAACGCCCTACTTATAATAATAGAGACTGAATAGTTGGGGAGTGTGTTTGTTTCACTATTATTTCTGAACAAAATTCTGACATACTTCTTACTTGACAACCATGGCCCTTTCATGATAACTTCCCATTGTATTTATACCATCCATAATATGAAATGGCCAGCGTTGTCAATGGCGCACCTTCATTTGCTACCATATATCTTCCCCCCCCCCCCCCAGCATATGATTTTACTTTGTAATGCATTCATTCATCTATTTGCATTTAGAACTCTTTTTGCTGCATGCTGGCCTGTCATCGCCCACTATGCTGTCCATGATAGCTGTGAAATATCTATTTGTTGAGCTCTAAGACCATCTATGAGAACCATACTTAGACTATTATCAAATTACAATGCAGACACTAGGCTGCAGATAAAGGTTCCAACTGTCATCCTTATGAACCAATTTCACAGTGAAAATAAATTAGTCTTAAGTTTCCACACAAGGTCACTCCAATCATCCCAACTCGCATTGTGCTGTTGTCAACATCTACTGTAATAGCATTATTTCCAAAAAGGCTAAGATTTCAAGACAATTACTGAAATAGGTGGAACACTAGCAGGTGCTTGGTATTCCCTCCCCCAGCCCCCATTTTTGGTAATAATAATAATAATAATAATAATAGTAATAGTAAGTAATTATAGCAGATATTAACAGAGGCATTTTGCATTGCCTTCCTCCTTCTGTGATCCTAACCCAACTTCTGTGGGAATAAATTCCACTTAATTCAGTGACACTTCTGGGTGGCAACTTTTCCTTAAGAGCCACATAAAAAACATCGTGTACAACTTTGTGCTTTGTTTCTCACAGTCTTTCATGCCTCTTTCCAGATGAAACCTTTCAAAAGCTCTTTCAAAATCCAGGAAGATTAATCTTGGAAGATCACCATACTGTGGAAGGAATATCGATATCATACTCTTAAGCAGCTCAGAGTTAACCCACTGAGCTGCTAAACTTGCTGACCAAAAGGTTGATGGTTTAAATCCGGGAAGCGGAGTGAGCTCCTGCTGTTAGCCCCAGCTTCTGCCAAACAAGCAGTTTGAAAACATGCAAATGTGAGTAAATCAATAGGCACCACTTCTGCAGGAAGATAATGGCACTCCATGCAGTCATGTCAGCCACATGAACTTGGAGGTATCTACGGACAACGCCAGCTCTTCAGCTTAGAAATGGAGATGAGCACCACCCCCCTGAGTTGAACTCAAGTAGACAATGTTAGAGGAAACCTTAGCATTTACCTTACTCTTAAGAAGGTATTTATTCAGGGGCTGCTTTAAACAGAGGACAAGGGGTATTTACCAACATACTTTAATCTGGGTTGCTGTCGTTTTTCCGGGATGTATGGCCATGTTTCAGAAGCATTCTCTCATGACGTTTCACTCATATCTATGGCAGGCATCCTCAGAAGGTGTGAGGATGGCTCTGAGGATGCCTGCCATAGATGTGGGTGAAACGTCAGGAGAGAATGCTTCTGGCACATGGCCATAGAGCCTGGAAAACTCACAGCAACCCAGTGATTCTGTCCATGAAAGCCTGCGACAATACTTCCATCAGTTAAAAAACAAATACAAATAAGAAGAAACACATCACCAACATCAACTTTCCCACTGCCTCACAACTATCTAAACATTAAGGATATCAACAGTAGGGCACATACCATCCATAGCAGACTCCCCAACTGAATTGAGGAAAATAAATACAGGTTGAGAACCACTTTCCCAGCAATCTGAAATCCTCCAGAATTGTTCATATGGGTGCCTCAGGGCCCTTCCAGACAGGCCCTATATCCCAGGATCTGATCCCAAGTTGTCTACTTAAAACTGGATTATATGAATTGGCGGTTCGAATCTAGAGAGTGGGGTGAGCTCCCACTGTTAGATTGAGCTTCTGCCAACCTAGAACTTCGAAAACATGCAAATGTGAGTAGATCAATAGGTACTGCTTCTGTGGGAAGGTAATGGCGGTTTATGCAGACATGATGGCCACATGACCCTGGAGATGTCTATGGACAACGCTGGCTCTTCAGCTTAGAAATGAAGATGAGCATCACCCCCCAGAGTCAGACACAACTAGACTTAATATTAGGGGAATTACCTTTTTTTATATGATAATCTGGGATAAACAGAAAACCTGGGGTAGAATCCTGGGCTATAAGGTCTGATTGAAAGGGCCCTCAGATAGGGATACCTTTGCTTTCTGATAGTTCAGTGAATACAAACTTTACTTCATGTGAATTATTTTTAAAACATTGGGTAAAATCTCCTTTCGGGTGTGTTTATGATAAGGTGTGTTGCAAACATACATGGATATTGTGTTTACGGTTGAGGTCCCCGTGTACACATCCACTCATGGTGGAAATATGTGCCAACATTCGTTTAACAAAAAAAACAAAAAAACTTTTGGGACTTGGGATAAGGGGTTCTCAAGCTGTATTATCAGAACCAGGAGCCCCGGCGGTGCAATGGGTTAAACCAGGGGTCCTCAAACTAAGGCCCAGGGGCCGGATACAGCCCTCCAAGGTAATTTACCCAGCCCTCACTCAGGTTCAACCTAAGTCTGAAACGACTTTAAAGCACACCACAACAACAAAAACAACCCTATCTCATCAGCCAAAAGCAGGTCCACACTTATTGATTTATTGATTGATTATTGCCGGTATTTCTGTCCCGTTCCTTCTCAACCCCCGAAGGGAGACTCAGGACTGCTTATATTTGGCAGCCATTCGATGCCACTACATATAACAGAGCAATATAATAACAATTAAAACAATAAATAAAACATTCATTAAAACAGTAAAAAACAGTATTAATAGCCGTCATTCCAGTCAATTTCATATCCAATTCCATGTCCAAAGTGCTATCTTTGTCTGTTGTCCAAAAGCCTGGTCCCAGAATCATGCCTTCAATTTCTTTCTAAATGACAGGAGGGACGGAGCCGATCTTACCTCAGTGGGAAGCAAGTTCCACAAGCTTGCTTCCCACTTCCTATTCAAATACTAACAAGTTTATATTTCTTAAAATTGTTCTTCATTTTGATTATTGTGTTGTTTTTAAGTGTTTCTTGCACTACAAATAAGATATGTGCAGTATGCATAGGAATTCATTCATATTTTTTTCAAATTATATTGTTTCTTGCACTACAAATAAGATATGTGCAGTGTGCATAGGAATTCATTCATGTTTTTTTTTCCAAATTATATTCTGTCCCTCCAACACTTTAAGGGACTGTGACCTGGCCCTCTGTTTAAAAAGTTTGAGGACCCCTGGATTAAACCTTTGTGCCGGCAAGATGGAAGACCGACAAGTCGGAGCTTTGAATCCGGGGAGAGAGTGGATGAGCTCTCTCAGTCAGCTCCAGCTCCCTAGGGGAAGACATGAGAGAAACCTCCCACAAGGATGGTAAAACACCAAAATATCCAGGCAATGCCAATTCTCTAACACCAGAAGCGACTTGCAATTTCTCAAAATAAAAAAAATCAAAACCCAAATGGTGCAAAGAAAAGGTTGGAGACAACTTCTTCATCTAGAAGAGGAAGACAAGGTTGTGGTTCAATCAGCACAAGGTGGCACTAGATGCAAGTATGGGCCAACTTGGGCCCTCCAGGTGCTTTGGACTTCAACTCTCACCATTCCTAACAGCCTCAGGCCCCTTCCTTTTCCCCCTCAACCGCTTAAGCGGCTGAGGGGGAAAAGGAAAGGGCCTGAGGCTGTTAGGAATGGTGGGAGTCGAAGTCCAAAGCATTTGGAGGGCCCAAGTTGTCCCCTGCCTGCACCAGAGCAAACCTGGCGATGGCAAGGCCCTCCCCAATTACCTTGTTGGAGAAGGGGGCCTTGCTGAGGTTGATGCCATCCCGGAGGAGCTTATCCCTGATCATGATCTTCAGGCGGAGTTTGGGGTAGGCGGTGAGCTCCCGGCTGGTGCGTCTCCTGGCGGGCTCCTTCCAGCCCTTGGCCTCGTAGCGCTCCACCAAGTGGCTGGTGTAGGTCCCGGCCGAGGGCGCGCCGCGAGGGAAGGCGGGCTCCTGGGGCTCCTGGGGCTCCAAGGTGAAGTAGAGGCCGGCCGTGCCCTCGTCCTCCTCCCGCAGGCGCTGCACGGCTTCGTGGATGCGCCTCCGGTGGCGCGGGAGCGAGACCCCGATGGCGTCCAGGTCGGGCTCGCCGATCTGCTTGCACACCTCCAGGTCGTCGTAGCCGTTATCCACGAAGGACTCCGCGTACTGCGAGAGCTTCAGCGCCTTCAGCCACTCGAAGACGATGTTGGCGCTCATGGTGGATGGGAACTTTTCCCGAACCCCCTCCCTGGACAGGCAAATCCAAAGGCGGATGAGAGCCCTCGCGGCCAAGCCTTGGGCGTGACTCGGAGTCGCTCTCGGCTCGCTCTTCAGCCTCGGCGGTCCTTACTCGCCCGCGCTGCCATCCCTCAGGGCTCCCTCCGCGGTCCCATCCCCACCCTCGCTCTCCTTTGGCTAGCTCGTCCTCTCTCTCTCTCTCGTCCGCCTTCTTTCCTTCCTTCCTCCCGTTCCTCCCCGACTCCCGGGCTCTTCTCGGGCGCTTCCCGCAAGCCCAGTCCTCGACAGGAGTTGCTTGCCTGCTTGCTTGCTACCTGCCTCTCTCTGCCCCTCCCCGCGGGCAGGGCGCTTCTCGGCCAGGCTGACACTCCGCGCGGCGTGAGGCGCGCTTCGCTTCTGGGCGCGCGCGCCTCGCACTTCAGTCTCGCGCCGCGCGAGGGAGGGAGGGAGGGAAGGAGGAGGGAGGGAGGGAGGAAGAACCTCTTGGGGAAAAAGGGGGGGGGGGTTCTGGCTTGGCCCCCTCCCCTTTCAATAGACCTGCCCTGCTTTTTTTTCCGTGTCAGGAGCAACTTGAGAAACTGCAAGTCGCTTCTGGTGTGAGAGAATTGGCTGTCTGCAAGGACGTTGCCCAGAGGACGCCCGGATGTTTTGATGTTTGATCATCCTTGTGGGAGGCTTCTCTCATGTTCCCACATGAGGAGCTGGAGCTGACTGGGGGAGCTCACCCACACTCTCATAGAATGATAGAGTTGGAATAGACCTCATTCAGTCCAACCCCCCACCAAGAAGCAGGAAAATCGCATTCAAAGCACCCCCGACAGATGGCCATCCAGCCTTTGTTTAAAAGCTTCCAAAGAAGGAGCCTCCACCACACTCTGGGGCAGAGAGTTCCACTGCTGAACGGCTCTAATGATGTAGCAGCAGGCCCGAAGCCAGGATTTTGATTGGGGGGGGGCTGAGTTCGGGGGGGGGGGGCTGAGTCTGAGTGAAAGAGGGTCTACACTAGCAAACCTTTTGTATCGTTACCCCAATACCCCCATGCATATGGGATATATTGAGCATGGTGATCAGATCATGATATGAATAAACATAACAGTTTAAATAATGTACCAGTAAGGCCTTCTCACAGACCACCATGAGAATTTCGGGGGGGGGGGCTGAAGCCCCCCAAGCCCCCCCCCCCCGGCTACATGCCTGTGTAGCGGAGATGTGGAGAGGCCCCTCCAAACTCCAGCTCCCATGATTCCTTAGCATTGAGCCTGTGAAAGTTAAAATGAGGTCAAACTCCATTAGAGGCACCCAGAGATAACTTGGGGAGCTGTCTTACCCCCCAGAGAACTGCGTCTGCACTCTACTAAAAGCTCTAGAGGAGAGTTAAAGGGGAAGGCTGGGTGACACCACTAGTGAGGATGGTGTCCTTGGTGCTTCACGTCAGAATGGGCCGGGAAAGAATAATAGAATCGTAGAGTTGGAAGAGACCTTAAGGGCCATCCAGTCCAATCCCCTGCCAAGAAGCAGGAAAATCACATTCAAAGCACCCCCAACAAATGGCCATCCAGCCTTTGTATAAAAACTTCCAAAGAAGGCGCCTCCACCACACTGAGTTCCACTGCTGAACGGCTCTCACAATCAAAAAGTTCTTCTTAATGTTCAGATGGAATCTCTTTTCTTGTAGTTTGAAGCCATTGTTCCGTGTCCCAGTCTCCAGGGCAGCAGAAAACAAGTTCACTCCCTCCTCCCTATGACTTCTTCTCATATATTTATACATGGCTATCATGTCTCCTCTCAGCCTTCTCTTCTTCGGGCTAAACATGCCCAGCTCTTTAAGCCACTACTCACAGGGCTTGCTCTCCAGACCCTTGATCATTTTAGTCTCCCTCCTCTGGACACATTCCAGCTTGTCAATATCTCTCTTCAATTGTGGTGCCCAGAATTCTCCTCAGATTGGAACCTGCGACCTGTCGGTCTTCAGTCCTGCCAGCACAGGGGTTTAACCTACTGCGCCACTGAGGGTTACTGCCCTGCCCTGTGATAGTATGATAGCTGGGCCTGGAAGCTCTGAGCATTATGCACATTCTGCAATGGGAAGGGGAGAGCAGCGCACTGAGGGTGGGAATATACTTCGCAGTCGTAGTTTGGTGGAAGAATAGATTGGAGGGGAGGGTTAGAATAAGGGTTAGGGTTAGAATTAGGGTTAGGGTTAGGATTAAGGGTTAGGTTTAGGGTAAGGGTTAGGGTAAGGGTTAGGGTTTTTACCATTAAAGAACTCTTACATTCCTTCTATAATATCAGTGTTCCATTCTGCGTTGCACAAACAGTGCTCCCGAAGGAGTGAAATGGAAACAGCATAAAGCTCAGAGCTTCTGGACGCAGTTTTCATACTATTACCCCCTGCCCTATCTTCCCGACCCTTCTCGTCTATCCCAAGGAACACCCCACAAACTGCCAGGATTTCCCACTCCCTTCTTTTGCTTCCTCCCTCCCTCCCTCCCTCAGGTGCCTGCTGGACCCCAAGCGCAAAGCCATTCAATGCTATTCAAGGTAGTCAATTACAACATTTACACCTGCCTCAAACCAACAAGAGTTCAACCAGGACCAGCTAACACCTCCTGCTTCTTCACATAAGGTTGGACTGGATGGCCCATGAGATCTCTTCCAGTTCTGGGATTCTAGGATTCCTCCAGGCAGCAATCAGCCAGGCTTTGAAGCTGTAAAGTGATTAACTGCTAATCAAGGCGGCCAATTGCAACATTCACTCCTGCCGCCAGAAGACAAGTGTTCTTTCCCCCACTCTGGACATTCCACAGATATATATACCCCACTTACCTAGTTTCCAACAGACCTCACAACCTCTGAGGATGCCTGCCATAGATGCAGGTGAAACGTCAGGAGAGAATGTTTCTGGAACATGGTCATACAGCCCAGAAAACTCACAACAACCCAGACAAAGTTCCCCCCCCCCCCCCGAACATTCCACAGATATATAAACCCCACTTACCTAGTTTCCAACAGACCTCACAAACTCTGAGGATGAGAAACCACAAGTCACTTCTGGTGTGAGAGAATTGACTGTCTGCAAGGACATTGCCCAGGGAACTCCAGATGTTTTGATGTTTTTTTACCATTTTGTAGGAGGCTTCTCTCATGACCCTGCATGGGGAGCTGGAGCTGTCAGAGGGAGCTCATCCACACTCTCCACAGATTCGAACCTCTGACCTGTCGGTCTTCCATCCTGCCGGCACAAGGGTTTAACCCATTGCGCCACTGGAGGCTCCAACACACCAGAGGATGGCTGCCATAGATGCAGGAGAAATGTCAGGAGACGGAAAACTCACAGCAACCCAAAGCCCAGAGAATCCTGAGCCAATCTCTCCCACCTTTTCTTACCCATTCTCCCTTGGCTCTTGGAGTCTTAGCAAGGAAAGGGCTTGGCTTTGGGGAAAATTTTGAAGGGAAAGTTTGGACTGGCAAGAAAAAGTCATCCCAAGAACGAATCCTGCCCTCACCTCCTTTCCTTGACTTGCAGCAAAAGCCAGGAAAGAGCAAGCAAGGAGAGCAGGGCTGCCTTGGGAATCTCACCTCACCCTCAGTCTCTTTTGGAATTCTTTCACTTCCACAGGGTGGTGGTTATTGTGTCTGACTATGGGGTTTTCTTGGCAAGGTATGTCCAGAGGGAGGTTGCTCTTGCCTTCCCCTGAGGCTGAGAAAGTGTGACTTGCCCACTGAGTTAAGGTCAAGTTGAGGGGGGGGGTGTGAACCCTGCTCTTCAGAGTCTGCTGCTCAAACCATTGCACCATGCCAGTTTCCCATTAAAGCTTACCCAACTGGATGGAGAGGTGGTGTTGTGGTTCCCTGTAAAGAGAGGGAAATGTCCAAGCAAAGTGAGGGAGAAGAATGGCTCTCCTCTCTGGGCCCCTCTTAGTTGGTGAAGGGGGCTCACCCTTCTCTTGGATTGATTGCCTGCTCCTTTTGGACAGGTGGCAACTTCTCTCACACCTTCTACTTTCCCAGGAACCCAGCATCCTGGATGAATGGCTGCCCTATCATCTTCTCCTTGAAATGGCTTTTCTCAAAGGAAGCCAAGGGAAAGGGCTGGGTGTAACCGGGAAGGAAGCCATTTAACGTCTGGGTTGTCAAAGGTTTTCATAGCTGGAATTACTGGGTTGCTGTTAGTTTTCCCAGGTTGTATGGCTGTGTTCCAGAAGCATTCTCTCCTGATGTTTCACCCACATCTATAGCAGGCATCTTCAGACGTTGTGAGGTGTGTTGGAAACAAGGCAAGTGGGTTTTATATATCTGTGGAATATTTAATGTCTTCTCACTGGTTGGAAAGCTCAGTTACCACAAAAGGAAGAGATGGGAGCAGCCACAGCCTTCTCAAAGCCATTTTAGGCAGAGGAGCAGCTGCAATCTCATTGGGGATACACCCACACCATATAAATAAAGCAAATTGATACCACTTTAGTAATCATTGCTCAGTACTATTGACTCCTGTAAGTTGCTGTTCGGTGAAGCCCCTTGCAAAGGCCTTGCAAAACTACAACCCCCATGATTCTATAGCATTGAGTTACAGCAGTTAAATTAGTATTGAACTGCATTCAATCTACAGTGTAGTTGCACTCTGGGATAAACTAGCCTGGTGTCATACTATTCAAAGGAAAAGTAAGCAGGAGGCGACTGGTGGTGAAATGGTCGCAGCACATCCCATTGTTTCAGTATTTCCTGGAATACAAGACAAGAGGAAAAGGGAGAAGCAGTAGGTCTATGCTGCAGGAAGTCTATGTTTCAGCTCAACGCGGCTGAGAAAGAATCCTGCCTTGAACCTTAGCTATTGTTGCCAGGAAGAGTTGGCAACAAGTGGACCAAATAGATGAAGGGTCCAGCTCATTATCAGAGAGCTCTCTCCATACTCTCTCACACTCATCCACATGGTAACAGTGGATACCAGAATCAGTAGACGATCAACTCCTATTGTAAACAATGGTACAGTGAAGTATAAAATGGCAAAATCAAGATTTGTTTTGGGGATTTTGGTTGGCTTTTTAAAATACGTTTTCAATCCATGGATGATTGAATCTGTGGGGAATTTACTGCTAATGCATTCCTGTGCTCTCCTCACCCAGCAACCTGCTTTCCCTTCAAAGCAGCAGTAGAAATACTAAGCATACTTTTGAAAGCACCAGGGTGCCTCCTCCTTTGCATAATCATGACCCTCATTCTTCTCACCTGACTCACCATTTTCTCTCCATGCTCAGAGAAGACTGTTTGGGTGGGGGGAGAGAGGACCAAGACAGTGAACAGATATTATGTAGAGACTAAAGATGAGGATGTGCAGGAGTGAAGAAGGCAGGTGCCCTGGCTGCTTGAAAACTTTCCAAATCAGGGAC